AGATTGAAAAATGCACTTAAGATTTCTAAAGATCCAAGATCAGATTATCCCATATGCAGATAACGCTTGTATACACCAACCAAAAAAAAAAAATCAAAAGAAAAGTTGAAACATACAGAAAAGAGAAATGCATATTCGTTTATCTTTATGGCAGATCAATAGGTGTTTTTTAAAGGGCTATCACTCAAATCAGTTACATTTATAACTTTGTTTCAATGACATTATGCGAAACAATAAATGTGTTTCATATTATGTAAAAACGTGCAATTGTGAGATGTAGACCTTAGTATACTTCAACTCATCGGCCTGTAGCCCACAAATGAAAATTTGCCCTTGCACATTTAGATGTATTTATTTCAAATTACTTTTTGTATGAGAAAATGAAAAATATTTTATTTCAAATTACTTTTGTATGAGAAAACGAAAATTCACTGCATACAACTTTATGACAAACATTGATAAATTATGTGACATTTAAGGCGTATTTCAGTCAAAATGACTTCATTTACAGACTTTTATTTCATGAAATTCATGGACAATAATTTCACCTAACCAGAATGACTGGTATTATTATACCACTGAGTACTAACTTAAGTGACTGTCTGTCATGACCAAACTTACCAAAATCAAGTGCTCCCTCTTCATTACAGTACAAAATAATAGGTTTAGCTTTTATCACTGTTGCTTTTTAGTTTTTACTCAAATCAAGCAGGAGCAAGTGATTTTGAATTCAGCGACCTTAACCATTCGGCCACAAGGAAAAGCGTTTTGAATAATAATAAATCTTTCCATAGGCACTTCTAAAACTACATCGTCACCTTAGTGTAGTAAAGGGTTTAGTCCTTCTAAATTTAATAGGAGTTAACCTGCAGTAATTGCACTAAGGTCACAATATTGTATGTTCCAAAAAAAAACAGTTTCTCTTACAGAAACAAACTTTAAAAATCTGTCTCATGGCATTTAAAATAAAATGTATATCCCACTTAAAGGAAAATTATGATCAATTCAAACAAAATAGTTGAAGATTTAAATCTAAGCCAGTGAAGAAATATTCAAATGCTTATCTAATTCCCAACCAACATTTATTGCTGTGTAATAAAAAGTATTTAAATCACTTCAGAGTGCCTGATTCGAAACTAGTCCTTATGTATGATTTAAATTGTAATTTGAAAATGTAAATTATCAGTTTCTAAAATGTTCTTACAATGTATTACATAATAATTTATTTGAATTATCAACACAGATCTTGGTGTCTTAATTTGAAATTGATGACCATGCAGTATTCATGTTAAATTTCAAAGCTTAAACGAACACCAGAAATTCTGCTGCCTAGCTCTTGTAACGGTTTATTGATTGGTAAATGCCATTGATCTAAAACTACTCATGAGTCCGTTGAACAGGGTTCAAATCCCATTGGAGATCTGATATCATTTTATGACAGGGAGCCTCCGTGCCGTGTACCACTGGTTATGGTCCAATCACGAAGGCACTTGATCTACAACAAATTGATTTAATCTTGTCGGAGACAATTATTGAATATTAAGTCCATGTGTGTAAGTTTTTAAGTTGATAAGATTTAAGGATAAAAACTAAAAAAATAATTTCTATTATGTTACAAGGCTTTTTATTTTTGTTTTTTTTAAGCAAATAAAAAAGGAATTTTTTCAGCTGATCTGAAGGTCTGATCATTTACTAGTATATACATGTATATATCTGATTAAAACCTCATTTCCCTTACATCATTTAAATCAATTATCTCATATAGTTAACGATAATTTTAAAGAGAAAAAAAATATATGAATAAATTAACTATCGTTACAATTAACTGTTATGCGATTTCGAGTTTGCCTGTGACCCTAGTTATATATAGTCATCTATTTTATGACTTAAATGATGGCAAAACACTTCATACCTTGTGATTTATGCATGCATGAATAAAATTCATCTCTCTCTCGAAATTCTTGCCGCAGCAATGTTTACCTGTATCTACTTGAAAGGCAATAAGAAGTGGTCTTACAGATAAGGTAATTTAGTAAATACACCGAAGTACGAGACTTTACCCTAAAATGGAGTGGGTAAGTAGAGCTATCGTAGATTTTATCTGCGTTCCTTGTTTGTCCGTAATAATTTGAGAGCGATGTATACACACTGGACTGATAGTCAACAATTAAAAGGATAAAACATGATTTGAGGAATTAACACCTTCTAAAACCTATTGCCGCCATAAAAGTTCAATAGGCTTTCCACATGCAAAAGATAACAGTGTTAAAATACTGGACCTCTTGTTTTTCAAATAAACTTTCGTTCTTGTGGACTTTAAAACTAATTTTAATGTCGATAATAAATATGTGAATTTCAGAATTAAGTTAATGAATATACATTTGATTATTATCCTCATTTTAGTATTAACATGTAAATTACTCTTTAGTACGACTGAAGCAAAAGAGCTTTCATCTGTCTTGTTTAATACAATAAAAATCATTTTTGTATTATATTATAATTATTTATATTTTAGTTGCCATATTACACATTGCTGGATCCAGTCCAGTGGCCATTTAACTGTACATGCAGGTGATAATTTTGACTGCCAAATTTTATGCCATCCATGCACATTATATAACAATATGGCTCTTGCATAATACTGGATTATTTACATTATGTAATATATAATTATATTAATTCTGCAATGCACTTAACATAATTTACATTTATATCATAAAATACCAACAATTGTAAAAATCATAAATTAATTTCAAATGCACTGTATTATAAAGGCCAGTGAAAAGGTGACATACCTTCAGGCAAAGAAAATTCAATATGTTATCATAATGGTACAAAACAACAAAATTATCACCGGTTAATTGAAATATATTATAACATTGCTTAAAGCAATAGCATAATGTTATAAAACAGAAGGAATATAGCGGGCATAATCTGTCTATTCAGCCTAGAAGTTACGTATATACATATAATAATAATTTCTACACTTATACAGACAGACAGACAGACAGACAGGCTCTGAGGCCAGCCACTTATCTCTTCATATTACTTCATATTCATAAAATAGATAAGATAAAGAGTATATTCCTTTATATTTAAAATTGCATGCAATGACAAGCTTTCAAAAAATAAGACAAAAGTACCGAAGACATCCTTAAGCGTGACCTGTTTTACCCATCTTTTACTGACTGGTTTCTTTTTTACTTACAGTCATATTGTTACTTCTAAAAAAAGACATTGTATATCAAATATTTTCTCAATGTTTGTCTTCAAAGTTAGACTTACAGTCAAATTCTACTAAATTACAGCAAGTGTTCCAAACGATACTGATTATGCACACCGGTTGCTGTACACACATTAAAGACAACAATTTTAATATGCTCGGTCTATAATATAAATTCACATTACAAGAGAGAGGAAAAAAAAACATCATACTTTTAGCATGTAAGAAACATGCGCCAAGTCTATCTTGAAATCAATAGCTGCGTCTTAAATGATTGATTTTTCTTGCGTTTTGTCAATAATATAGTTTTAATACCTACAATTACAGGTGTGCCAATAAAAAACAATGTTATACCTGGTTACAGTTCATTAAACAATCGGATGACAAATGTGATATAAACAATGATTAAAACTTGTGACTAATAGCAAAAAAATACATCTTATACATAGATTATCAACAAATTTTAACCCTTTTTGGTAGGATCAAATCTAGGAAGTTTTTTTCTCAAAGAAAAATTTGGAAGAAATAAAGATTTGATGGGTTTGTGGCCAGCATGGATCAAGATCAGCCTGCGCATCTGCGCAGTCTGATCAGGATCCATGCTGTTCGCTTAAAAACCCTATTACAAGTAGTGAAACTGATAGCGAACAGCATGGATCCTGATCTGACTGCGCGGAGGCGCAGACTGGTCTGGATCCATGCTGGTCGCAAACCCATTATGTTGGTTTTGTCATGATGCGGCTCATATATATTTTGTTCTGGGAAGATATTGTCCCAACATGAAATACATTGTAGCTCAATATCTCACCTGTAACAGTACAATAAGTTGGACAAGCCCAGGGCCATGTCAGGAAGGGGTAGCAAGGCAAAAATAGCAGGTTTTTGGTAAGTCCTGTACTGCCAGATCAATGCAGTGGTTTAGTTGACACCAAAATATTGAGCAGTTTCAAACCCCCTGTGCTGGGGAATTTAACAATAATATTATGACATGACTGTCCCCAGCATGATAGGAAAGTAAACAACTTAGTACCAGTTTACCGCAGGTGGGGGTTTATAATCAGAAAGTATAAGTTCCTGCTTATCCCAAAAGATGGGTGCCAGGAGTACTTTAATTGATGAATCTTTAAGAAACTGTGTGACTTGAACAAGACTTCAATTTGCATTTTTAGACACTCACTGTTGGCTAGACTTTAGAATCTGTTCGCACCTAATTTTAAAGGGACTCCAATGAAGTTTTTTGATATGGAACTGAAAAAAAAATTCCATATAAATGTACCATTTGATGTAGGTTTAGACCTCTAATCTTTGTGCAAAATTTCAGATCATTCGCGCACTTCGCTTTTCCAGAATAATTTATTAATTATTCACATTGTAAATCAATGACCCAAAATGAAAAGCATTTAAACGCTTTTCACTCAAACCTGACTAAGAAAAATATAAATACGATTTTCAATTATTTCAAAGTATATTTCTTAACTATCTTTGCATATATTTCTGTCTAAAGTGCCCCAGCTCATTTATGTAAGAAATTCAAATGTTATGTTTTAGGCTTTTAAACCTCAGTGGAGTCCCTTTAACATGTACCCATCATATTTCTTCAATATTTATATCTCTACAAAATTACTACTCAGATTACTTCTAGGGTTAAGTAAGGCTTCTAGGGGGGGAAGGGTTAGATGGATTTTGCTGCAGACATATTCTAAAAATGCTCCTCTGACTGTTAAGTAATATATTATGATTATTGTTAAAATCATACTAAACTCACGACTGCTCTTACCCTTTCAGAATGACGTTTTTTATTTGATACTTCTGTAGACATTTTCAGGAACTAGATCCGATAGCATCATTTTGACATAATCCAAAATATATACGAATGAAAACGACACGATATTCCATTTACTTCTGACAGTGAATTATGAGTCTAATCCGTTTAGAAAGTGTCGCCATTTTACAACGATTCTTATTTGACAAATTTATTTATTTTGAAACACTCGAGAATAGAGGCACAGAATAAATCGATACTTTTGAATTACACTAAAAAACTTCTTATTTCTATTTTTTCCGAAATATTATTTTGACGAAACAATGAAAATTCAAACCACTTTTAATTCCATTTCACCACTTGATTTCGTTAATCCTGCTGTGCTTTGATAAACATCGTCGCATCGTGTATACATTTGTGATTTACCTGTGTTTACAACGGCACAATTGTATGGTGACACCGCTTACCTGAGAACGCCATCACGGTCAATCAAAGGGAAGGAAATCTTATAGATTTATCACACGATCGGGTGTCGATTACATTAAAGAGTAATTGAATGGTCCGATTAATTGCCAATAGGTTGTAAAAACGCAACAAAACAGACATTGATGATTACACAATGCATGCGACGACATTTGCAGAGTGACACATATCGAGAAAAACATTATGCCGGGCTGTGTTTTGTAAAAGCCATTTTCTCGTGCTATGCTTTTGTTTAGGCGCCAAAATAGCGAAGTTCAGCGGGGGATAACAGGAATCTGATCTTACTCCGTACGATCATGGATCTTTATATCAAGTAAAACAAGTCTCTGGCTCCCCTATTGATATTTTTTAAACAGTGTCCCGAGACTATTTTGTGAAGCGGACATTTTCTCATAAAATGCTAATGAACTGCTGCCATTTTACCTTAAATTTTAATTCAAAGTGACCAATATTTTTAATGGTGTATGAGCCATCCGGTCAATCAGCCATAAAATATTGGGCCTAACAACTTTGTAATTTCTAATTGGGTTACTGATATCTTAACGAATGTCCAAAATTCCCACATGTATTTCACCGTTTTACATTCGGAAACGTTGTAAATACATGACCTGATTTTAGTGAAAATGACTTTTACAAAAGCAATAATTTCAATATATTACCATCAGATAAATAACTTACGACCTATCAATGGAAGATCAACTGACTGCATATTTCAAGAAAAATGTAAACGTTCTTTGCAATTCTTTACACGATATCATAACATTGTATCATAGTTTGGGGACCTTTCTGTTGAAAATGTTACAGAGTTAAATCGTTACGTATACATATACATGCACAGTGCGTTAACTGGAGTGCATGTATTAGTTACCCGCACTTCAGAGCATGCCAATTGATTGGCTCATTTTTGCTGGGGTTCACTTATTGTGACGGTAGAGAAAGGGCAAGCGACAGAGATGCTCGTTCATTGGTTTTTTTCCGGGGTTTCATATTGTGACAACAGGAAACGTGTTTTTGTGTTTGACTATGATACAAATGAGAAAGAACATCAAAACACTCGGCAATCTGATTAATACTCGGGGGCTACACCCCTCGTACAAATCAGTATAGCCTCGTGTTTCGATGCCCTTTCAATCACTAAATTTTATGTTTGGTTGTGCAGTTCAAACAAGAATTTATATTTGTTTCTGAGTAGAGATAGTACATAAACCACCATTAGCGGGCTTAATGTCAGACAAATTGCTCTACTGAACATTAAGGCCTCGGAGAATTTGGAGACGTCTGCAACGGAAGTTACTCGTTATAGTCCCTTAGTTCTAATTACCTCCCTTGAACTGCAACCGTGATTAGAGACCAAATTCAAGTTGTTAATAAAATTGGGTGTTTATTAAATCAATAAATTACTGAATTCATGCTCCTAATGATATTCTTGTTAAATTCATGCTATATTCATGTCCATTTTGAAAAAAGAAAAATGTACTGAAAGATATACTATGCTCATCTTTTAGTGAAAAAATTTAATCACAGAAATTTGTTGAAATCTATGAAATTCTAACTGAATATGTCTAACTTGAATAAAAGAATGAATTAACTTTGTATGGGAAGCTGCATTCCCTGTTACGCGTCAAGTACAGTTGTTCTTTTCTTTAAAAAAAACTGCCAGTTTTTTTTTTAATGACACTATATATATTCATGTTGCGACCACCATAGTTTGTAGAATTTTAAACATAATATATCTACTTTGTATGGAGTCAAAACCTTTTCATTTTATGTTTACAAAGAGACTGTTTAGCAATTATCAATATTTTCGAATATCAAAGTTGAGCATAGTATATCTTTAAATTGATACCCCTTTTTACGAAATTCATGCTCATAACTATTAAATTCACATTCTAAGGCATTGCTGAATGAATTCTTGCTGATACGAGTATTTTTGCATTCATGTTCAGATTATTAAATTCTTGCTCATAGATCAGAATATAAATTCAAGCTCAAATAATACCTTAATTATTGCTCATATATTACATGTATATTCATGTTTAACTTATTAAACTCATGCTCATAGCATATTAAAAAAATCAAACTGCCAATGTTACAGTATAGCCACTTATTAAATTTGTGCTGTTATTTATAAAAATAAATGCTCATATTATTGAATTCACTCATTAAATAAATCAAGGGAAAAGCAGCTTCTATATATGTGAATTATCACTCATGACTATAAAAAAGTGAAAAATTAGGCATTTTGTATGCATGTACATTTGATCCTTTTATATTATACACCATTTGAAAGTTAAATCTTTTATCTATTGGTAACTTTTCATGCCTTTCACTTAGAAAAACATAGCAGAACATACCCACTGAGCCACATATGAATAGTTCTGTAAGAAAAATTAATAAGTAGTTATCTTTAAAAATTGATGTATCATTTATTTAAATGGGAACTGTAAATGCTTTTACCTGCAGCCATAGACAAACAAGAGGGCCATGATGGCCCTGAGGTCGCTCACCTGTATATAGGCCCCACACCCCCGGGCCAATTTTTACCCAAGGGCATTTATTTGTTTATTTGAACAGACTTGGTAGACACCCAAGAAGATGTTTCATGCTAAACATCTAAGTTCTAGCTCATTGGCTTTTTTAAAAGAAGATTTTTAAAGTTTTTACTATACACATATAGTTAAAAACAATGACACCCCTGGGGCAGGGCCAGTTTTGACCCCCGGGCGTTTATTTTAACAAACTTTATAGATATTTACTTAAAGATGTTTCATGCTTAATATCTAAACTCTAGCTATTTGGGTTTTTCCAAAGAAGATTTTTAAGTTTTTGCTATACACATATAAGGAAAATCAATGACCCCCACCCCCCGGGCGGGGCCAGTTTTGACCCCAGGGCTTTTATTTGAACATACTTGGTAGACACCCATTAGAACATGTTTCATGCTAAATATCTTAGCTCTAGCTCTTTGAGTTCTTTAAAAGAAGATTTTTTAAGTTTTTACTATATGCATATAGGGAAAATCAATGACCCCCTGAGGCGGGGCCAATTTTGACCCCAGGGCTTTTATTTGAACAAACTTGGTAGACACTCATTAGAAGATGTTTCATGCTAAATATCTTAGCTCTAGCTCTTTGGGTTCTTTAAAAGAAGATTTTTTAAGTTTTTACTATATGCATATAGGGAAAATCTGTGACCCCCTGGGGCGGGGTCAATTTTGACCCCAGGGCTTTTATTTGAACAAACTTGGTAGAAATTCACTAGAAGATGTTTCATGCCAAATATCTAAGCTCTAGCTCTTATGGTTCTTTAAAAGAAGATTTTTTAAGTTTTTACAATACGCATATAGGGAAAATCAATGACCCCCGGGGCGGGGCCAATTTTGACCCCAGGGCTTTTATTTGAACAAACTTGGTAGAAATTCACTAGAAGATGTTTCATGCCAAATATCTAAGCTCTAGCTCTTACGGTTCTTTAAAAGAAGATTTTTTAAGTTTTTACTATATGCATATAGGGAAAATCAATGACCCCCAGGGGCGGGGCCAATTTTGACCCCAGGGCTTTTATTTGAACAAACTTGGTAGACACCCATTAGAACATGTTTCATGCTAAATATCTTAGCTCTAGCTCTTATGGTTTTTTAAAAGAAGATATTTAAAGTTTTTTCTTTTGGTTGCCATGGCAACCAGAGTTCTGCATGGAATTAAATTCTTTGAACAATTTTTAAAGGTGACCACCAAAGGAACATTCCTGTGAAGTTTGGATGAAATTGGCTCAGTGGTTTATGAGGAGATGTCATTTAAAGCAAAAGTTTACGGACGGACGGACGGACGGACGGACGACAGACGGACGACGGACGGACGGACGCCGGACGAAAAGCGATCACAAAAGCTCACCCTGTCACTTTGTGACAGGTGAGCTAAAAATGTAGTATTTTACTGATTTTGTTATCTGGTTAATAAGTTTTACTTGCTACAAGTTTTAAGTTTAGCAAGCATGTGTGATATCTTTACTGGCTAGGAAGTTGCCCATCTCCGTTATGCATGTCTATGAATAAATTCATCTGCATGCATGTAATCCTCCAAATTCATGATTAAATTCATACTCAAATAACCAAGTAATGTGTCAGAAATAATTGTTTGACTGAATATACTATAAATATCACACTGAAGTGAGAAGATTGCAATATTTTGCCACTTTGATGTGACAATGTAATACATAGAGCAAGTATTAGCAAAAAGCAAGCAAGTTTTCATTTAATTTCTAATATATAAAGAAAACCGCAATTTTCGACTATTTCTATTGAATAAAGTGATCAAGACGCACATAAAGCAGACGACACCTAATGGCTACCAGAATGCTGCGGCTAACAAAGATTGTGAATGATATACTGTAAGTGATGTGGATTTTATTTCACTGATAAAGTCCAGTACTTCACAGGTTAAGCATATACATGTAATATAAAATGCATTACACGTATTTGTATTAAGCGCCAGTTCAAGATGAACAATAAATACAACAACAGTATACGTTTTATTTACTTTTATTCAACCAACAAACGTCAAACTTGTTTAATAAATTAAACTTGTATAATAAATCAAGTGTAACATGTATATAAATAACATTTTAAATATAATAAATTTAGTTCTAAATAAATGATGAAAAAGTTATAAATTACCCTCTGGACGGAATGAATGTAAATAAATATATTTAAATAAATAAATAAATAAGTTACATTTATCATTAAATAACATCAATCGATATCTCATATTTTATTAGCACATAATACATGTGTTTTATCGTTAAAGATCAATTATCGATATTTCATTTTTTATCAAACAATAAACATTATATTTCCAAATTTCTACAAGTTAAAAAACTGTTTTCATCTTTTGAATAAATTATTGATATGACAAGATTGCACACGACATTGCACATATAATGTTTTTGAACATTAAATATACAGTTGTGTGCTGTT